GATTCTTCCAACAACCACATGAGCTTGGGAGAGAACCCCAACCCAGCTGATGCCTTGATTGCAGCTTTGTGACACACTGAGCAGAGGCTCAGTGGTGCTGACTTCTCTTGGAAACTGAAAGATAATACATGGGTGTTGTTCTAAGCTGTTAAGTTTATGGTAATTTGTTCTGCAGCCATAGAAAACTAATACATCATTCTATTTTAAGAAACTTCCAGGTGCTGTGGCCAAGCCCGTGTGTGTGTGTGTGTGTGTGTGTGTGTGTGTGTGTGACATGGATGTTGGGGGTGGGGGGTGATGAAGCCAGGTGGGAAGAAGAAAACTATCTTGGAGGAAGTAATGGCTCATTCGATGGGGAGAGGACGAAGTTGATTAAAATGCAGGCCTGCCCAGTGCCCAGTTTTGGGGAGCTGGAGGGAAAATATTTCCCCCAGAGCCAGGGCTTGCTTTGCACTTGGGGGCTTTGATTCTAGATAGGGGCCCCACTTCCACCTCTTGCAGGTGGTGGTGGGAGGGCCGATAGTTGGAGGAAAAATACACATTCTTTGCAAGGATGCAAAGATTGTCTCACATGGAGAGGTGATAAAGTAGGATATTTTGAATAAATAGCCAGTTTTTAAGAAATCCTCCCTCCCTGAGTTTCTTGCTCAGGACTTCTCTCCTCCCTGCTTCAAGGAGAGGGTGCCATGGGAGAAAGCATGGAAAGCGGGTATTTCTGCTAAGCTCTCCCCCTTATGGGGAGCTGGGGTGCAGAAAAAGTTTTGGGGGGCACAGATGAGTGAGAACACATTTCCCTGTCTGATTCCATGAGCTGTCAGAGAAAGAAAACAAAAAGGCAGAAGGATCCACAAGAAAGAGCTCTTCATCTTTCTCCCTGGCAGAGCTATAGAGAAAAGGAAACAGATTCCCCAAAAGATCTGTGGGATCTGGGAACCAAGGGGACAAGAGCCTGTGTTGTGAGGCAAGCCCTGGGTAAGACCTTGGAGACACTTAAGTGTAGTTGACCACTGTCCCCACTGCCAGGCCCAACAGAGATGCTAAAACAGTAATTGTTGAATGAAGGAATGAATACCTTGGAGACCCTCTAAAAAAAACTCTCCCGGAAGACTTTCTTTACCAGCAGCAGGGAAAACTGATGAGGGTCATGTGACCTTGGCTCCAAGGTGACGGCTGAGATATCCACACACCTGATAGCCCCCAAGCATGAGGAGGCCCTGCTGCCCAGATGAGGGTAGCAGATGCTCTAGGAGGCCCAGAGTTCTGACCCTGGGCAGCTAAGTCAGCTGTCTTAGGGAGGCTTGCTCATGGATCCTTGTGCCTGGGACATGGCTTCTCCTGGCCTTGACCTGGCCCCTGCCCCTTAAACTCTGTCTAGGAAGCTCAGAGGTGTGGCCACATGGCTTCTTGGACCTGAGCCTGTGTTGGAGCTGTGTGTCGTATGCAGCTCAGATATGAAACAGTACGACAGGTTCCTTCTCATCACCTCTCTTCCCTGTTAAATTGCCCAGAGGTGTTCATAAGAACACCAATTAATTAGTTGTTGAGCTAAGAGAGCCCGTTTATCATATTTTGTGTCAGGCCTACACCCTGGAATCTGATGAGGTCTTTGGGTGCTGGCAGCACGAATTTTATTCATTATTTTTTCTATTATGGATGATTCTTCCCCACATTGGAGTCAGACAGAGGTCTGCTTGAACCCAGCTCATGAAGACAAATGCTGGGGGTTTTGTTGGGCCTGGGGTGGCCTCTGTTTCATTAATACAACATATTGAGGATATATATTTGTTTCCTGGAAGCTCTGAGGATGGGCAACATTCAGAGGGGTTTGGAATGATTACTTAATTAGAATCAAAGACACTGGTGGGTCGTAGTCATGCTGGAGGGCAGGGATTGAGGAATCAGTGTCTGTAACCATCCAGGGCTGAATTTTACTTCTTACTTCTGTCTTAGAAAAGATTTGTACATCTTTGAACCTCGGATATCTCACCTTTAAAGAGGGTAACTGTCCAGACTTCGTATCACCATTACAAGAATTGAAGGATCTGATGATGATGGTACCTGCTTAGCATTTTCATAAGCCAGGTATTAGGTTCCACCATTCAAGGCAGGAGTTTTCAGCTGGGGGCCAGTTTGCTCCCCAAGCAGACATTGGGCAATGTCTGGAGACATTTTTGGTTGTCATATTGGGAGGAGGGGGTGCTCCTGGCATCTAGTGGGTTTACAGGTCAGGGATGCTGCTCAGCATTCCACAGTGCACGTAAAGTCCCCCCTGCCCCATGAGAGAAAAATCTGGTCCCAAATGTCAATAGTGCTGGGGTTGGAAAACATTTTTTAAAGTTGAAGCAGAGTGAATGTTCACCTGCTCAATAAATGACAGGTCTGGTTATAAATAGAGGGTTCAAAAGAACATGTTTTTTCCACAGTGGGTGAATTAAAAAGATTATTTTGTTATTTATAGGCAATACATTTCACATGGTCCAAGATCTAAAAAGTACACAGGGGGTACAATTCAAAGTCTCCCACCCCCCGCCCTCCCTGGAGGAACCAGTATCGTCAATTTCTTGTTTATTTATCCAGAGGTCCTCTATACATCTATAAGTAATTGTATGCACATATGTATACATTTATATTATATGATCACATATATACACACATTCTTTGCATTTTGCTTTTGTCACTTAATCCATTTTGGAGATAGCTTCCTATCAGGGCACAAAGAACTACCTCATTTTTCCTTTTAATGATAACAGATTATGCCATTCTATGGATGTCTGGTATTTTATTTAGCCATTCCCCTCTGGGTGGCTAGTTAGGTTGTTTCTATTTTTCCTGTAGTTACAAATCCCAATGCAATGAATAACTTTGTATGTACAGTGTATATCGTTTTCCACCCACAGATATATATCTGTAGGATAAAGTCCTACAAGTGGAATTGCCAAATAAGAAAATTTGTATGTTCCTGATTGTATTGGTTGTTGCCAAATTACTCTGCATTGAAACTGTACCCATTTCCATTCCCCACTGGCAATGAATGTAGAAGAGGAGTTGCAGTGATTTTATAATTTTTAATATTTGCTCTTACTGTTTATATCTTCTCATTGGAAACCTTCTGGGAATAAATAAAAGGTGGGCATACCTTATAATATTTTGTGCCCATCATATTCTCAGTGTTCAGGGATCCAGAATCTGCCCATGGGAGATCTCTTAAATGTTATGAAGTTAATGCCACTGGGAAGTAGCATTCGCTTTCTCCAGAAAAGGGCTATTTAGTTCCTGTTTCCTGGCACTAATAGTTCCCAAATGACTTGCCTCTCAAAGAGTTTACTTGTAGGAAAATCTCTGTCAGCAAATCTCCCTCTGAGTGGTTGTTCAGCTTTATTTTTTAAGTTTCTGATTCAAGGGCCCCTTTGAGAGTCTGATGGAAGTGATAAAACCCTCTCCCCAAAAAGGTACCAGCAGTTTGTGTATCATTTCAGAGGCTCCTGGAGCTGCCTTGGACCCCAAGGGAGTGGTTCTCTGGGTAGGGGTGAGGCTCATGCTGCCAGGCACCACTCCCTACCCCATGAGAGGGGTCTGTGGATCCCAGGCTCATAGCTGGGCAGAACCAGTTCTGTGTGGCCAGGGACACACTCGTTCCAGACCTGGCTTCCCCCTTGCCCACTTCTTGGCCCAGTGACTGATGAGTTCCTCAGCCTTTTTTGAGCTTTAGTTTTCTCATCTGTGGAATGGGGACAGCACTTGCTTTGCAGTATTTTTGTATTGGAGATATCGAAGCCAGAGCACCTAGCACATGCCCGGCTTCAGGCCTATGTTGGAGGAATGGAAGCTATTCTTATTCTTACTATAGTGAAATCCTTTGCATTTTGGCAACTGGGATTCTGGAACAACCACATTCTTTTCTCTTACAGAGACCTTGAACATGCCCTTCCCTCTGCCTAGAATACTTTTTCTTCCTCTTTGTCTCCTGAGGTCTCTTTCAGTTCTCAGTTCAACCGTCCCATTTCAGCCTTTCCCTGCCTCCAATTTCAAGTCAATTTGCCCTTGCTGTCTTCTCCTGGAGAAACTCTCCTCTTCCTTCTCAGTGCCTCTCCTAGTTGTAATGAGATCTATTAGTGTATTTACTTGTCTAATGTCTGTCTCCCCTGTCTCACCTGACTACATGCTCCAGGTGATCTGGGGAGACTGGCAAGGGGAAAGGCCCTGAGGCAGGTGGGGGCTGGGTGGAGACACAGGCAGGTGGCCTTTGTGATCTGGAGAGAACTCTGTGAGGGGAAGAGAGGTGAGAGAGGCCGGGAGAGAGTGGGTCAGGGTCCAGGTCATGGGACTTTCTGGGCCACAGAAAGATAAGATTTGAATTATTTTCAAAGAACACATTGATGGGGCACCTGGGTGGCTCAGTTGGTTAAATGTCTACCTTCAGCTCAGATCATGAACCCGGGGTCCTGGGATCAAGCCCAATGTCGGGATCCCAGCTCAGCAGGGAGTCTGCTTCTCCCTCTCCCTCTGTCCCTCTACCCCGCTCATGCTTTCCTTCTCTCAAATAAATAAATATAATGTTTAAAAACCAACCCCCCCCAAAAAAAGACCCATAGAGCATTGGTGTCCCTCCAACTCTTCAATAATAAGCCAGGGAGTCATCTAATCTAATCTAGTTCTTTAAAGTTTAATGTTTTATTATTTTTATAAAGTTCTTTTAATGATTTAGTTTTGGAAAAGATCACCAGCCACTGTATGTAAGGCAGGGTGGAGGGTGGGTGGGCCTGGGGAGCAGGGAACAGGGGCTGGAGAGGCTGTAGCTGTGGTCCTGATTGTGTCTGCAGGCTGGTGCCCTGAAGCCAGTGGGGTTTTAGAAACCAGAATATTCTAAGCTAGTGCTTCTTCCAGTTGCATGAACTGCCTCAGTCTCCCAAGAGCTCACTGAGAATGGGCTCTATTTCAGGGAATGACAGACTCTGGGGCTTCCACTAGCATTGGTGGACTGGCTGCAGAGCGGAACTTACCGGAGATGGTGGTGAAGTGGGATGGGGAGGCCACTGTCACAAAGGGTGGCGTTAGGTACTTGGCCTTCATGCCCTCCCGGGCCAGGCGGTCCATGTTGGGGGTGTCCACATCCTGGTCGTAGTTCCAGCGGAAGCCATCGAAGGAGATCAGCAGCAGCTTGTTGAAGTTCTTCCTCCCAGGGACAGGGTGGCAGCTGGCCCAGCCCAGCAGGGCGGGCAGCAGCAGTGTGAGGACCCCGAGCGCTGTGATGCCGCGAGCACCACACATCACAGAGTTCATGGGCCTGCTCCCATTTTCTCCCTTTTTTATCTGTGGTTGAACAAAGTCCAAATTGATAATTGTGCCTGAGCTGTGTTGTGGATTGAAACACCTGGAGTGTGACAAGATGTCGTGTTTTATGTGATGAAAAGTTCTGGAAATGGATGGTGGTGATGGTTGTACAACATTGTGAACGCATTTAATGCCACTGAACTGTACACTCTAAAATGGTAAAAGTGGTAAATTTTGTGTTGTGCATATTTTACCATGATAAAAAAAGTCAAACCATGTGAAATATTTTGGACTTTGTATCAATTCCACTATTGCGAAGATTTGAGGAACAAATTAGACTGGTGCTTTCCTTTGCTCAGTATATTCTGTTTTTATAGGGAGAACAGATTATTGTTCATTATGACTCTGAAAGCAACCACCATGGATTGAGGGCCCGAGAGGGCCAGGAACTATATACACATTATCTATTCCATTTAATTAAAAAAAAAAATCCAAGGTAGGTTATTGGGTTGGAAATTTCCCATGAGAATTTAAAGAAGTCACTGTGGCTAGATACACATAAGATAAGATCTACCATTTTAACCATTTGGAAGTGTACAAATTCAGTGACATTTAGTGCATTCACAATGTTGTGCAACTATTACCTCTATCTAGTTCCAGAACTTTTTCATCCCATCAAAAGGAAGTCCTATACCCATTAACAGTTACTCCTCATCCCTCCCTTACCCAGTTTCTGGTAACCACTAATCTGCTTTTTGTCTGCTTGGGTTTATCTCCTCTGGACATTTCATATACATGGAATCATAAAGTATGTGGCCTTTTGTGTTTGGATTCTTTCACTGAGCATAATGTTTTCAAGGTTCATCCATGTTGTAGTATGCATCAACATTTCATCCTTTTTCATAGCTTATTAGTATTCTATGGTGTGGATATGCCACATTTTATATATCCATTCACCAGCTGAGCAACATTTTTTTTTCTCCATCTTTTGGCTATTGTGAATAGTGCTGCTATGAATATTTGTTTGAATACCCTCTGCTTTTCACTTAATTTTTGCAATATATCTATGAGGTGGTTTTTACTTAGTAGCTAAGTAAACAGCTCAGAGAGGCTGTGGAACCACTTCATGGTCACACAGCAGATCTGAGACTGTAGTTTTCATACTTGGCCACATATTTGCTGGGCATGGGAGGGTGTGTTAAATTCCCCAAGGGCACAAATTGCTTTGAATACTTTTAAGGATCTGCAAAAAAAATAAGCACGTACTATGTCCTAGGTGTAAGAGATACAGAAATATAAATGCAGAGGTTGCCTGTGGGTGGCTCAGAGTCCAGGGGACAGGCAGACAAGTAACGTGTTACATGCAATGGAAGGGCCCTGCTGGAGGTGTGCATGGGAAGTGATGTGGGAGCAGAGGTAGAGAGAGGGTCCAACCTGGAGAAGCTGGGTACAGGTGATGCTAGGCTTGAGTTTTATAGGCTGGGAGGAATTAACCTGTTGGAAGCACTGTCATTCAGCCACTCATCTGGATATGACAACATCTGCCTCCGGCCTCTTTCTGCAGGTACATGGATGACATTTACCTTTGCACTTTTAGAAAGATCTATGCCTTGTATAAAGAGGTCATCAACTGACAGGAGTTGAAGGTTTGCTCAGGTATTCAGGGGAAGTTTTTGGAAGATTTATGTCTTGACCTGGGTGTACTGAAGGCTGGATATCAGACCCAGATGGAGAACCTGTTTCCCCCTTGCTGAAATTGCCTGGAATTCTGTTCCAGGTTTTTGCTTAGGTTGAATCTTTGGGGTGAAGAAGTGGTGTGCCAGGGGAGCTCTATTTTGGATTTGTATAACTTGGCTTCTCCTATTAATTAGCATATGTTTTGCTATTTGAGGGATTTTCATAGAATTTTGTGATGAGTATGCAGCATTGCGATTGAGTGTGTTTTGAAGCTTTCCAGGTTGAGCATGTTTTGAAGCTTGGGTTCACATCTTCACTCTGCCACTTACTATCTATGACACCTTGGCACAAGTCCCTTAACCTCTGTATGTCTCTGTTTTCTCCTCTGTAAAAAGGAATAGTGATATATTTTCTAAGGTTATAAGACTTTGATGAGATGTTGTACATTGGTAGGAATGTTTACTGCTCATGGGATATCCATGTTCTCCCCCTCATTTCCCAGCCCCTTTGTAATTACAGCCAATGTGCTGTGAGTGGAAGCCACATGTATCACTCCCAGCCTACAGCTGTCTAGGGCTGGTACCTAACTATTTCACTCTCTCATCACCTGCCACCCCATTAACTGGAAGTCTTGTGTTAAGATGGTAGGCTTTCGGGTGCCTAGGTGGCTCAGTTGGTTAAGCAACTGCCTTTGGCTCAGGTCATGATCCTGGAGTCCCAGGATAGATTCACGCATCCGGCTCTCTGCTTGGCGGGGAGTCTGCTTCTCCCTCTGACCCTCCCCCCTCTCATGTACTCTCTCTCATTCTCGCTCTCTCAAATAAATAAATAAATCTTTAAAAAAAAAAAAAAGATTCTCTCCCTCTCCCTCTGTCCCTTCCCCCGCCTTCTCTAAAAAAGAAAGAAAGAAAGAAAAGAATACCATTAAACTTTTTAGAGAAATCTGTGTATTTATGACATAGTCAATGGAGTGGAGATGAGGAATTCCAAACAGATTTTGGGAATCATCCCAGAATGAGGTAATAGGTAGAACTCTTGGTTGCAAGTCACAAAAACCCACATTTTATTAGTCTAGGTAAGAAGAGGGACCATGTTTTAGTCTGGTTTTGCTCTGAAGCAGATCCTGAAACAAGGATAGGGGTGCAAGTGGTTTATTGGGAGGTGATCCCAGGGAGCACCAATAGGGGTATGGGGAAGTGATTCAAGGAAGCGAAGGAGGCCAACACGGGGTGTTTCAGTCTTGAGTGTATGCAGTGCTAGAATGATGAGTACTATGGGCTATGGGCATGGCATCTGCTACAGGTTTTTTAGGGCATGATTTCCCATGTCACTGAAATCATTCTGCAGAAAGGCAGGGATGCAGCTGGGTTCCACAAGCAGGGACTCACATACCACCAGATCTCTCTTTCTATCTCTGTGTCTGCCTTTGTCTGCATATCACCTTAATTTTCTTCTACTCAGGACTGGTTTTCTCCATAAGGTGAGGAAAATGACCACAAAAGCTCCTGTTTTTCCTTATCCCAGAGTTCCTGTCATCACAGAGAATGATTATATTTTCCAGTTCCAGTTAGGAAAATTAATCCAAGGGAAGAACTCTGATTGGCCTATTTAGATCTCTGGGCCAATCAGCTGTGACCGGAGGGCAGGGTCATATAAGCTCCTGGCAGTCTCCACTAAGAACCACATGGCTGGAGTAGGAAGAGGTACAAGTCTCAGTAGAAGGGAGTGGTGGTAGGCTGAAAAAACAATAGATGTCTGTGATGTAAGGATCAGGAATGCATCCTGTTAAGCCTAGTACTTATTGGGACTTAAAGAAACTTTTTATATATAAAGTGTCACTGTAGTTCTCTCCGGATGATTCAGCAGAAAGTAAAAACCTATATGAACTGAACACTTCCTGTGCACAGGCTGTTGCTATGGATTCAAATCCTTATTGATGGATCCAAAGATCAATTAAAATGTTTCTCAAGAGATATAAACTCTGGTGGGGACTGCTTATGATAAGGCTGAAGTTGAGAATTGGCATGTAGGAATTCTAATTTCTTTCTTCCATTGCATACTGTCAAGTTTAGGTTCTGGCTGGCAGTTATGCACCTCAAAGGAGGGCTGCATATAAAGGGGTGTGTGTATGTGTGTGCATGTGTGTGTGTGTGCGTGTGTGTGCATGTGTGGTAGGTAGTTTCCAAAGATGATTGCAACATCCCACAAATGCTCTTTTGCAGTGTGTTTGGGAACCCTTCCATTAAGAAGTGGAGTCATTTCCTTCCTCTTGAACCTGGGCTGGCCTGTGACTTGCTTTGACCAGTAGAATGTGGCCGAGCTGATGGTCTCTGACTTTTGGTTCTAGGCCTTGAAAGTCCTTGTAGCTTCCCTTATTTTTGCTCTCTTGGAAGCCCTGGCTCTCCTGCTCAAGGGGCTGTGTGGAGAGGGGCTCTGGAGGATAAGAGGCCATGTAGAGGAAAACCAGTCCCTAACCAATAGCCAGCATCATCTGCCAGGCATGTGTGTGAGGCCATTGTCAACCTTCTAGTGCAGCTGGGCCTCCAGCTGCATGCAGCCATATAAGTGAGCCCAGGTGAAACCAGCAGAGGAAATGACCAGCCAAATCATAGAATCATGAGAAATAATAAATTGATGTGGCTTAAAGCTACTTAGTTTTGGGTGCAGTAGGAATAGTTCTTGAGGGTGTGAGCACTGGGGTCTGCATTTCCCATCTGCTGAAGATCCATGAGTTCATAGGATTCAATCCAGAGCTGACTTATTTCCTTAATGTCCTATTGTTTGAAACTTCTATGAAAATCTTTTTAGAGACTTAAATTTTTAGAGCAGTTTCAGATTCATAGCAAAATTGAGAGGAAGGTATAGAGATTTCCCACACATTCCCTGCCCCCACACATGCACAGCCTCCCCCACTAGCAACATCCCCCACTAGAGTGGGACATTTGTTACAACTGATAAACACATTATAGTCACCCAAAGTTCATAGTTTATATTATAGGTCACTCTGGTGTTGTACATTCTGAGGGTTTAGACAACTTTCATGAAGTTTTCACAGATTTGGACCACTTCAGGGAAATCTCAAAGCTCAGAAATTATTTTGCCTCCTGCCATGTGGTTGAGCCTTATGAATTCCTAAGAAGGATCTGACATAAAAGAAAAATTTTACAAACGTATTCTTGTGGCTTTACTTCAGCAAGATTCACATCAAGTGTTGAAATAAGTGCTAGTGTTATTCTAGATCATGTTTTCGAAGACTCACATGGCCTCAGGGTTAGCAGGATCAAAATGGCCTCCTAGCATCTGTGACATACCCAGAAGGGTTGGTTCAACTG